CTTCATCCAGGTATTTTGCCTACACAGGCATTTTTTATCTGAGCGTGACGAATGGAAACATTTAAAAAGTGTATTTACCTAGTCAAATTTGATATCATTTATTTTATATGTTGGAGGTGCGATCGTCACGACTTTTTTACCTCGTCAAGAGGTGTTTTTGTTTGATATCAGAAATTTTTGTTTTGAAATATAGTCAAAGTATTAATGACTGTGGTTTTAACTTTAACCTATTCTTCAGTATTAATTTTGATTAAACCAACTACGTTTGGCATGACTTTAAAGCTTTACTAAAAAGAAAGGAAACATACTTCCGCAAGTCCTAGTTTGTTTATATACCTCTGCAACTATTCCAAAAGTTTAAAAAATTTTTAAAACCGTTTTTTACCGTTTTTTTTTCAGTAATATCTTTGAAAGCTTCTTATTTATTTATTTATTGTATAATAAAATATAAACATTTGTCGCGGTAAAAAAGCAAAAGCGTAAAAAAATTAATAATTATGTTATATTTCAATTTATTAAAAAAAGTTTAAAACATGAAAACTTCGGCTAGCCGAAGTTTAAACACCAAAATTAAATATTATTTAAAACATTTAAATTTAGAATTATGTGCATATATATTAAAAACTATATCAAACAAAACCACCTCTTGAGAAATGAAGAAAGTGATACTCGCACATTCAACTTCAATAATTTCTGATATCAAATTTTGTGACGACTATTATTTATTTGACCAAACAAAATAAGCTTTATTATACCCTTGCAGAGGGTATTATAATTTCAGCCAGAAGTTTGCAACGCGGTGAAGGAGACGTTTCCGACCCTATAAAGTATATATATTCTTGAGTAGAGTCGATCTAGCCATGTCCGTCTGTCCGTCCGTCTGTCCGTCCGTTTATATGCAAACTAGTCTCTCAGTTTTAAAGCTATCTGCATGAAACTTTCCCAAAAGTTGTCTTTCTATTGCAGGTAGTATATAAGTCGGAACGAGCCGGATCGGACGACTATAGCATATAGCTCCCATAGGAACAATCGGAAAAATAATTGAAAAAAAATTATAACTTTGCTGTTTATTAATTTTTTGTTTAGTTCTTCGACATATAGCAATGGTTAAATATTTCAGAATTATGGTTTAAATTTCATCAAAATCGGACGACTATAGCATATAGCTCCCATAGGAACAATCGGAAAAATAATTGAAAAAAATTATAAGTTTGCTGTTTTTCAATTTTTTGTTTTGTTTTTCGACATAAAGCAATGGTTAAATATTTCAGAATTATGGTTAAAATTTCATCAAAATCGGACGACTATAGCATATAGCTCCCATAGGAACAATCGGAAAAATAATTGAAAAAAAATTATAACTTTGCTGTTTTTTAATTTTTTTTTAGTTCTTCGACATATAGCAATGGTTAAATATTTCAGAATTATGGTTTAAATTTCATCAAAATCGGACGACTATATCATATAGCTCCCATACAAATAATAAAAATATATAAAAGAACAATCAAATAATTAAGCTGCAAATCGTCATAGCTTCAATGTTTTTAAACATTGCGTATATGTTAAATCATAAATTTTAATGTTTTCAAAAATATTTAATTCTTGCGATAGCTGCAAGGGTATATGAACTTCGGCTTGCCGAAGTTTGCTTTCTTTCTTGTTTTTATTTAATTTAGCATTCAGATTATCGATTTTAGAATGCAAATCATTCGCTACCCAAAGATGTCACGTTGCCACAATATGTTTGGATTTAATAAAAGTTTGGCCACCTCAGACGATAGGTCTACGCAAGATGTATGAAAAACGCGACGGCACAAAGAGAATCAGCGGATAGCGTCTGAGCCGCGAAGTAACATAGCGAAATGTTAAGCACGTCCGAGCGCTTAGAAAGTAAGGCGACGCCTTTGATATCAACATTGGATGTTTTTGAACTCCTCGGAGTATGATGGTGTACGTCTTAAATCGATTGAAATAAACACAGGCTTTTTGCTGCACTGGCCCCAACAGCTCCAATATTAGAAAACAATTTTTCCGCACCTTCCTTAAAAATATGCTATGTATATTAGGTATGTTAGATATTTAGGTAATATAAAATGTTTATTTTTACAAGCTTTTCTACAACCAGACTTGATTGCCAGAGCGTATAAAAAATATCATAATTCATCCTCAACTTTGTGATGAACAAATTGACCACAAAATGGAAAACATTTGTGTAAATGTAATTTTTTTTTAACCTTGTTTGTACCTTTTTTCTTTATCTAGATAATTGACAAATTGTGTATTTTTAACCTTCCCTAGGCACTTGTCCGTCTTGCTCACCCTTTATTGAATGAGCCTAACAATCTGATGTAATAAGGCAACAAAGACTTATTCTGAAAACTCTGATGTTTTTTATTGTAACAAATTTATTTCAATTGACAATTTTGATTGAAGCGTCTTGGAAACAATCGCGCTGTGTTTCTTTTCAACGATCTCGAGGTCAAAGTAGTTATTATATTTATACCCAGAGTTTGCAAAACTAACTTACAGTAAACCATATTGCCAATTGCTTTTATTTTTGCATAATTCATCTATAAATCATTTTGTGGTTATTTAAAAGTTAAGGGGGCAGTACCTCTAGAATTAAAAAAAATAAATTAGTTTAAAAATTATTAAATTTTTATTTTTGTTTTACATATTTGTAAATTTTTAAAATTTGTAAGAGTCGATTTTTGTTTAACTTTTCACGTTAATAGCCCCTGAGATTCCTCAACTTTTGGTATATAAATTTCTGCGTAAATGCTTTCGAAAGTTATTAAGCAACAAAAACGGCGACCTTTCTCAGTTCAAAGCAACTGACGATGCCTAAGTATGACATTTCGGTGAAAAGTATGAATCACCTGTTTGGCGGGGAAAATGACAGAAAACAAAAGAGGGAGCTAGTTTCGGCATGCCAAGCATATAAACAATTCCAGTTAATGCAGAAATTAAATATTCTTTAAAACAACTTCATTTCGATTTTATGCGTACTTGTTCAAAAACAGTAAAAATAATAATTTTCGATGAACTATTCAATCGTTCTTAGGGCAGCTATATGCTATCGTTGTCCGATTTGCATACAATTTTAACCTAATTCAGAAATAAAAAAACCTTCACCAAATAAATAAAAATATTTTAATTTAATTTTAAGGCCACAAAGTTATAATTTTTGTTAATTTTGATTTCTGTTGTTCTTATAGGAGTCGATCTTAATAACATTAAAATCGTAATTCAGAAATATTAAATAATTACTTTATTTCGAGGAACTACATTAAAACAAGAAAGAAAGCAAGCTTCGCGAAGCCGAAGTTTATATACTTTTGCAGCTATTCCAAAAATTAGATATTCGTGAAAGGAATTAAATTTCGATTTACTTTATATGCGTATATATCTAAAAACATTGAAGGTATGATGATTTTCAGCTAAGTTATTTGATCGTTCCTATGACAACTATATACTATTTTTTCCGATTTGAATAAATTTAAAAGCATAAGTTGGAACAATTAAACTATTACCTAATTTAAAGAAATAAATAAAAGTACTGCTCATGATTCAAAAAGATAAAGCAGCAAGTCTCTGGAGAAACTAAACAATAAAATAAATTTCCGGAAACTGCTAATTTGGCCGATACAGTAGAAGTAAAATAGGTGAAAAAATAATGATACTTCGAAATCTAGACGTTATAGGGATAAAAAAAAACTACATGGAAAAGTAAAAATTGTTAAAGCACTCACTTTTAAAACGATCGAAAAGTTGTCTGTCCAATTTAAAGGAAATGAACATGAAATTGAACACATTGAATCAAAATTTCAGCTAAATATTTTTAAAATTTGAAAACAATTTCCAACATGTTTGGCGTATACCAAACCCATTCATAAAACTCAAGAGCTAACAATAAACACCCGGAGTTGTGGATATTGGTAACAAATGTCAGACAACAGCTGTTATTGAGCCATCCGTATCAAATGAAAAGGTTGCGAAGGTTAAGGCTGGTAATAATCATGTTATAATACAAACATTTCGTGGTATGGAAAACCGAAATAATGCTTGCTGTGCGAAATCTGATTTTCAGAGCCTAATAAATTTTAGGTTTATTAAGGAATCAGTACATATAGGAATGTAGTTGTATATTTATTTACAATAGCTGCAAGGGTATATATACATACTTCGGGTTGCTTCTTTTCTTGTTTTAAGTTATTTATATATTTAATTAAATAGCTGCAGGTTGAAAAAGCGTGAGTGACACCGTGAGAAGGAGTTGGACATTTCTCTCCCGTCCCTGCAACAAATTTTGACTACAGACCTTGGTCTGAAGCCGTACAAAATCTATTGGTTCAGCAGCTAAAGGCTTACAACCAACCGATGCGTTTTCAGTTCGCGTAATGAACTGAAGTCCATTTGGTGGGGACGAGCATCAAAGCACAATTGCCGTCAGACGAGTGACTGTTTGAAGCGGTATGTGGTCAGGCGACATTATTGGCCTGTTTTTGTTCAAAAACGAATCGGGAGCCGCTGTAACCTTTAATGGTGACCACCGAATGAAAGATGAAGATATCGATGACATGTGGTTCCAGCAGAACGGCAATACGTGTCTTACAGCAAACGTTACAGTTGAACGAATAATCAGCCAAAAAGACGATATCAACTTGCGGCCTCTCAACTGCGATTCGACGTCGCTAGACTTTTTTTTGTCGGGTGCCGTCAAGAATAAGTATTATACCAACCATCCTGAGGCGATTGACGTCGTAAGGCACGAGATTGAAGTCGACATTGAGGACTGTACTATCGGAAATTTGTGAATAATTTCGTTAATCGGATGAACTACTGAGAGGCCTCTCGAAGCAGCCGTCTTTCACAAATAAACCGCAAAGGTATAATAATAAAACTTTATAATATGAACATTTGATTTCCGCTTGCTTTCCGCGTTATTAAAAAGTTATTATTGGGTTTACCAACATCTGCATCCTGCTAAATAAACTTACCTAATTATTTTAACAGAACCGGGCTTGGTAGTAACAAAACAGGGAGAGTGAAGAATGACTTAACCCCGGGTATGCCTAAAAAAAACAAGCAAACTTATCGGAGTTAAGGTGACCCAAAGATTTGCAAGGTTTGGGACACATCGGGAGAAAGTTTTTGTCGTTGTTTGTTTCACGTATCGGCAATATGCGTCAGCTGATCTGCCTCATCCAACTGACATCTTCATTTCATCTCACATATATATAGTGTATACTCACCTTGGTGTCTGATATTTCCAAAGAAAAACGTTTTACTCTATTTGTATTTTACTTGCTCGCTGTTAACGTTACATGACAATCGGCGTTCAGTTATTTACACCCAATCTTATTAAAATCCTTATTCGGCTTCGATAGGGTACGTACTTTAACAATAATATACTATATACATGGCCTTATTTTCAATAATTGTGTCCCGTTCAAAGTATATACAAAAACAAAACGCGAAAAACGAAAGACATCAACCAGTGTGACCGAAGCTTTGTAATTAAGCTGAACCATTACAATATTATTGCCCATTAGTTATTGTAATGTCCGTTAAACTAGCGTCGGTGCCATAGCATCGAAAGTGAAACTGTGGGCAAAGGAACATGATGGATACAGTAAAAAGATAACAGCGGATAATGGCGGTATGCCATTTTTCCACATAGTCCATCCGTGGAAAATGGGTGGAATTTTTGACAAATGTGTAACTCCGTTTTCCACAGGGCATATCCATATCCACGTACCGATTTCAGCTGATCTGAACAGCTGTGGCTCGTCAAAACGTAAACAAAGTCAACAGTTCAACCATCTTCAACCATCGTATAATCTACTATTATTTTTGGGTTGACCTGTTGACTTTGTTTATGTTTTGACGAGCCACAGCTGTTCAGAAACACTTTGCACTGGCGAATTTTCATATTGTATTAAGTTTTGCCCCAATATCCATTTTATTGGCGGGAACAATGAATTTTGTGCTATCTTCTTCTTCGTTTTGGATTTTTTTAGTATTAGTATGTCGATTAGCTGTTTTTGATCAGCTGGTTTCTGTCTGAATGGGTCAACAATAATGGCGCAACAGGATTTTAATTGACATGGCGGCCATCTTTTTTTCTGTGAACTAGAGGCATGGTCGGAAGAGAAATGCGGGCTTGGGGGGTTAACACTTCCCTAGGAAGCAAATTTAATGCAGAGTAGATACAAGCCATTACTTTTAACTTCAGATAACCATTTTACCACTAATCCTATAATAAAATAGAAGCAGGAAAAATTACTTCCAAAACCGTTTGATAGAGTTAAAGACTCCCTTCAAAAATTCCGCCCACGGTACAGTGACTTATGACGGATAGTGGATGACGGACGGATGAAGGTGGCTCTGTGGGAACACCAGTCCACCGACCATCAAATATCCCAGCCGTGTCTATTGGATGATCTCTGTGGGACTGGGCTATAAAACAGTTCGAAAAAGTTGAAGGACCCATTAAAAAATTCAGCCTATGCCCTCATTCCACACAGTTCATCTGTTGGAAACGATTGGAATTTTTAACAAATGTGAAACTTCGAAAACACAAATAACGTAATATAGAAAAATGTATTAAAAAATAAACTACAACTAGGTACGGTACAAATATGCTTAAACTTTAGTTTGCAAAACAGGGATAGAGACTGAAATACAAATTTGATTATATATTATAATTTTTACAAAGAACACGAAAGGGTTCATGCAGGCCAAAATTTGACGTACACTGGCTCACAGCTCAGTGGCGGATCTAGGGTTGCTGGCGCCCGGGACAAAGCGAAAAATTCCGCCCCTCCCTATTTGCTGTACGAATAACATTAGGAGTATTTTAAGTGTAAATAGGTTATTAATTATTAAAAGCTTATATGTTTGAAGAATTGTATTTCATATCGGTTCTTTTGTCAGTTACAATGGAAAAAACATTATTAATTGTGTTTTTGCAAGACAAAAAAATATTACTTTTAGAATATAACTTTTCTGGCCTTGATTGCCTCAAATTCAGCAATAATATCTTTGTAGACGAGTGATGCTGCTACTTCATTTTCGATAGATAGTATAGCTAAATTTGACAGACTGTCTTGATTCATGGTTGTGCGGAGAAAAGATTTTATACATTTCAGTTTACTGAATGATCGCTCACACGAAGCCACGGACAATGGTAGAGTCAGCAGCGTCATCAGCAAGTTCACCTGGCATCTTACGTTACTTGATTCTCCTCTTCGAAATCGTTACGCCCATTTCTTCACACAGTTTTTTAGCTTTCAATATGACTGTGTCGCAAAGACTAACTCTCCACTCTTTTATGTGGTCTGACAATGTCTCAAGTAATTCTGTCGCTTCGTAGATGGTGATCCCTTTGGTTTGGAACATTTTCTGCATTCTGTCAATAGAAGGGAGGATCTCTGCCCATAAGAGGTGCAGTATGTAAACAAACGCGCTCATAACCTAACACGTATACTGCTCGCTCTCTCTCTCTCTATCTCTAAGCAAGAAAGTTTATTATGACGTTTCGAGCGTTCCTTTTCCTTTTGATCACATCATAAAACACTTATACTTGTATTCTATAGGGAGCGTTACATGCGCAGCGCCGCGGGAAAATATGAATTCTCGAAACATAAATTGCTAGTCGGACTCGATTAAGCGCCTCTTAGATTTGGCGGCCGGGGCGCTTGCCCCTTTCGCACCCCCTCGATCCGCCACTGTCACAGCTTATTTCAACCAGCATCCAAAAAAAAACTTCAACAGCCTATAAATGCTAAGCCAAACAAGACATGAACAAAATTTAAATAAACGATCTTTTTGTAATGTTTATATTTATTATTTTGTAACTTCATATAATTTTCATAATTTTGTAAATATTTTTAATTTAACTATTATTTCAACCAGTTAGCTAGATTAATGTTTATGAATTGACTCTAGCTACTTAATAACTTGTTAGTATTTTGTACGTCCTCTTTTGTTGTCAATGACCATTTTTAAACGTTTTGGAATTGAATCGACCAACTTTTGGGTGACTTCTGGCCCGTTTTTTGGACCGTTCCTCAACCAATGCCGTTTTTAGGTCCGATTTGTTCGAAATTTTCCGTTTACAGATGTTTGCATTTTAAATAGCCCACCCACAGGTGACTGTGCCGGCGGTTGCTCAATATGCGGACAATTCCAAACCAGCCAGGTTTGTACAATTTCCGACTTGTGTTTCGGGTCATTATCTTGGTAAAACCGAAAATCTTCACGAATGGCCAGATTGTCCGCGCTATCGTGCAAATTGGACCTCAAAATATCGAGTTAAAGATTTTTATCCATTGTAGTATATATGAACGCCAAGTTTCCAACTCCTGGCGCCGCCATAGCATAACACTTCCTCCGCCGTGCTTTACTGTGGCTTTCAAATTTTTTGTTTGCAGCTCTATATTAAGCTTAAGCCACACATAAGTGGCTCCATCTAAGCCAAAAATGTTGAACTTCGACTCGTCAGCAAATATATCGGTGTTCCAAAAAGCAGAATCCTTTCCCAAGTGCTCCTTAGCAAATTTTAATCGGACATTGATGTTCTTAGCGCTGATGAACGGCTTCTTCCGAGGTATTCTGCCATTATTTCCATGGTTTCGGACCACTCGACTAATTGTTTCTGGGTGGCAAGTCTTTCCTATTTCTGCTTCTACTTCAGTGGCAATTTTCGGAGACGATATTTTTTGATTTTCCCGAATTTTCCGGACAATAAAGCGTTCGACCGTCATATTGAAAATTTTATGTGGAGCATTTCTTGGCTTATCGTGCGTTCTATTCTCGAGTACAAAGCGGTAGATAATGCTCTGGATTGTCCCATCGCTCAGCCCAACCATCTCAACAATATTCCTGCGCGAATGTCCATTTTTAAATGTTTTAGAACAAGTTCTCGCTGATCCAAAGTCGTACGCGGCCTCATTATGGCAAACTAATTATGAGTGAGTGATCTTCCACTAATTTCACGAACTTCGAATATAAACACCAAAGCATAGAAAAAAAAGAGCCGTTATATTAAAAAGGAACGGTGATTTAGACAGCAGCAAAGTACTTGTTTGAAATAAGCTGTGGCCTTACTTTTTGTTGATGTTTTGTTCTTAATTAAATTAAAAATATTTACAAAATTGTAAAAATTATAAGAATTGTGCTGGTTGAAATAAACTGTGAGCCACTGTACGTCTTAAGTCAAAAGTTTTACCAAAATCTTTATATATAAGTCTGCATTTTATTATTTAATCTTTTAAGTGGGTTCGTGGTAGTTGACCTTCGCTTGACAAAACCATGTTGATAAGGTGATAGCTTAAGGTTAGCGAGGAACACAAGTGTTGCAAATGAAAAAGTAATAATGCGGTATTGCAGACAATTTAGAAATAGCTCTATAATTTTGCACATCCGATTTTCCTCCCTAATAAAATCCTTCCAGACAGATGTTGAGCTAGATAATTAAAACAGTTTTAGAATAGTTGAGGCACAAAACTAAAGCACGAGATACCGACCAGTCGGTAGGTAACGGGCCCCCGGCCAAACCACCCAGAGCTACCCTAGAAATGGTACGCTGACTGGGCGGTCACATACTTCCACCCATTTGGACTTAACTATGTTGCAATCTGAGCGAGCTCATCGGTCAAAAAATTTATTTGTGAACCAGAGTCAAGCAACCCTCTAGCTAATACAAACTCGCCACTTTTGGTTTGAACGCTCACAACAGCAGTTGCAAGAATGACTCGATCCGATGCATTCGCATGCAAAACAGGCGAATTGGATGGAGTCTCCTGCATGAGCGTAAGCTGCACTCTCGCAACGCGAGATTTGTGTTTGGGGAATATATGTGTAGCAACATGTGATGTGAGGAACTGCACACTCTACTCTGTTCGATTTGTATTTTTTGACCGTGTGACCCTTTCTTAAGCAGTTAATGCATAACGGTGCTCTTTTAGTGAACTCGAAAATTTGCTGAACTGTAAGGGCTGCGAAGGAAGAGCAGTTTCCAATCTGATGTTCAGCTGAGTCACACGCGTTGAACTGTGTCGTTCCTGGCAGTGAAAAACGAAAAACTCCTATTTCCATTCTAATTATGGTTAGATTGGGTCTGCTGAACAATTATGGGCTTGAAAGCCTCTTTCGCTACCATATGTTGGTATCACCTGTTCAGGGCCGCCTCACATTCGCTCCAATGTGGAAGCATCAAATAGCATCAGTAATGCGTCTATCATCCCCAATTGACAGCAAGGAGTCATACAAGGCTGTCATCTCAAGGCTGTAGCTGAAGGTAGGGAAATTTTTTGCAATTTAAAAAGTGTCGATATGTTGTCAAAAAAAATAAGACAATCATTATCGTACACCCGCTTAAGCTAGCAAGGGCTTTGTAATAACTTTCCGCAGTGACTTGAAAGGTCTTAATATTCCTAAAGCGTCTCAAGCTAAACACGAAATTAAATGATTGAATTTTTCAATAAC